TTTTGGCTAGTTTAAGACATCCTTAGCCAAAAGCACAACTAAAAGATTTAGATTTATGCTACCTAAAACAGTTTTTTTTTTCTTATAACTATGACGACTGAAATATGTGTCTTCTGAGATAATGATGGTTATCATATTTTCCATTTGAGTTGGCAGTTTGGCAGAAGCTTGAAGAAGAGAACAGAGATTTTTTCAAGGCATATTATCTAAGACTCATGGTGAAGCAGCAGATTATGGAATATAACAAGCTGCTTGAGCAGCAGGTACACCACATGCGTCAGATGCAACTAACTGGAGTTTCTTCTATCCAAAACAGGAATGGTTCTCTTGTTCCATTAAGTAAGATATATTTTGATCTAGATAGAATTTCATTTGATATAGATTTTATCATTTGTGCACTATTTACATGGAAGCTCGTCATATTGAACTACATTTTTTATCTACAAATTTAGTTGCTAAATATGTCTATCAAGTATTGTAGGAAACTGTCTTTGTATACTTTTGTAGAAACTTATCTTCAAATTCCGTTGGTGAATACGAGCTGCATGAATTATGCTCTTTAAATTTAAGCTTAGTAACAATGAATTGAGTCCAAAGACTTATTTTTGTTTGAGGCTGTTATGTTTTACTAGTTGGATAGTTAAGGGGACTAATGAGTTGCGAATGGTTTATCGTTGCAACTAACGTCATTTCTTTTAATAGTGAATCAGCATGAATTATGCTATGCACCCAAGGCCTCAGATCAATCCTCTCTTAATCTGTCAAGTGCATACCTCAATGGAGGCTCAGCACTTAACACAAATATACCTTCTTCTGTGGACTTTTCAACCCATTCTAGAAGAGTTGATCCGTCACCAAACATGCCTTTGATGCAAGGAATGGTCAAATCCGAGACTGCATTTTCCAACTGTGATCCGTACATGTATGCTACTGAAGCTCCTTCTGCAGTTAGAGATGCCTCAATTGCGTCTTTCAGCAACGATTCCAGCAACCAATCCCTCAATGATCCACTTGTCGATGCAGACGATTCTACATTTGGGTTCTTAGGTCAAATTCCTCGGAACTTCAGCCTCTCTGATCTGACAGCTGATTTCTCTCAGGGTTCAGGTCCTTCTCAATCTCATATATGCTCTCCCTTTTTCCCTAACACACTTATTAAGCAGACACTTGTGTACACTCGCACGCGTGTTTTGATATAAAAGAGTTTAGGATTCATTGTGTTGTTACCGTAACTTGCTTGTTAATACCAGAGATTCTGGAGAGCTACGATGGATCACCATTCCTTTTGGCCGATGCTGAAAATTTCCTGGAGTCTAGCGAAAGGGTAGAACATCAAGGTGAGCACTCTGAAGCTTTGTTAATTGTTGCAATTGCAAAACAAGAAGATAAATATTTATGTCGAACTTGATATCGCTCTTCTTTTATTTCTCTAGTTCAATAGATTTTATTGCGCATCTTAGCTATTATGCGAAAGATCTGTAACATTCTCATAAACTCTTAAAGGAACACTAGTACCAGATTGTTCTGCATGAAATTAAAAGTTGTAGCTAAGTTTTTTTTTCTTTCTTACAGAAGACCACTAGAGATTGAGAACCATATCTGAAGGCTTCAGTTGCGAAAACCTCGGGAGCAAATAGGTTTGTTATATATGGGAGAACTTAATCATCATGCTTTTGATGACCTTTGCAACTAAATGCAGGTTTTAATCTCATGGTCAGTGTACAGAGAGAGATCCTCACCATTTCAAAAGACAATTTTTGGGTGGGATGTGTGTGTATACCAATATTATTATTCTTTAGTGTGGAGAATTTTGGTTTTTAGTAATAAAGATTTAAGAAGCAGTTGATTTTGATTGTATCATTGTATGATATTGGATTTTGATTGTATCATTGTATGAAATTGGATTTTGCTTTGGACTTATGTGGCCAAGTCTTAAATAGAGTTCAATTCTTCTCTTAAGGTTAAACATGTATGAATGGATTGTATAGAGCAAAACCTAACTCAGAAAATATGATAGATACTTTACATTATTGGTATGATAGTCTTCTTTCAATACACACACCACACAGATATTGTAACAAGTTTCAGATTTAGCTACTATATGGTATTGCAATCTCTCTCGGTAAATGATAGTAAGACAAGTAAAGCCATTATTTTAGATACAGAGGAAGCTTCAAGTACTGTTATGTTCCTTCATTTCCTTAGAAACACATTTCACAAATCCAGCAGCAGCATAGTGCAAAGAGACTGCATAGGAAGAAACCAACAAAACATAATGATTTTGCTGATTTATATAGCTTTGGTTTGATATCAAAAGATAAGTGATTTTGTTCTGCTACTTACCATCCTTCAATGCAGCCTCGGTCTCCTTTCTGCTTTGTCCCGAAAAACCGTGGTTTCTTCTTCTTCTTGTCTTGTCCAGGTTGTTCAGGGACTTGTTCTGCAGTTGGATAACCTGTCAAGAGATGTTAAGTACTACAAATCTTCTATTTTGCTTCAGATAACGTTTTGATTCATTTATCGATAAACCGAACAGAACAAACTCTGAGAAAAATCCTGACCTTGTGGAAGATGTTTATCTTCTGCTATTCCCATGTCCTTTTGCATCTTTTTTTACAGAAGAAGCTCCTCTCTCTCTCTCTTTGTGATGGCTCTTTCAACTTTGCAAGTGGAAACACACACACACACAATAGGGGATTGTGATTTGTGTGATTTGGGAATATGATTCTTTGTTAGGTTAGTGATAAGATTAAACATTTTTGTGAGGATGCTTCTCTTTATATAAGCTATGATCTAATATAAAATTGGTGGCATTTGCAGATGAAATATTCTTCTTTAGTTCTTTTTTAATGACTTTCGGTTTATTCGTTTATATCTTTATACCTTTCTTCACGAAGGGGTTACTGCAGAAACTAAGGTTCCTTGAGTTTTTTTAAGTGTGAAAAGAAGACTTTTACTCCACTCCTTTTTTGAGGTTTGTTTCACACTTGTTTTGTTTGTGAAAAGGTTTATTTACTTCTCTTTGTATATATTACCTTCCGTGATAAAGATATTATTTTGTAATTTTATGAAAATCAAAGCTTGAAATGGTAACATAATAGCTAAATTATTCTCCAATTGCTTTTCTCTCATCAACTGAATTGTTCTCCTTTTTTTAACAGCAACAAAATTTCTAATTTTAAAAAAATAATTGTGATCTTTTCGTCATTTAATTTAATTTTGATTTGGAATCATAATTTCCTAAAACAAATTGCAACAGGATTACAAGCAAAATGTTGGTGTAATCATACTTCAGTTTGTATTTGGATGACTCATAAGTCGACAAACTATTCCCTCTGCAGACATTTATTTGGTAACAATAAGAAATTTGAACAATTTGTATTCGAAGTTTTAAAAGCGACATTTTCATTGAAATATTTTAACTACATGAGAATACAAAAAAAAAACAATATTTACAAGAATTAATTAGCAAAATTGACAAAAATAACTTTACAAAAAAATATAATTTGTCATATAATCATATCTTTCGCACATTTCATACCTACCACTCAATCATCTTCTCCTTTTTCTTTTTTATTTGTTTTGGATCTTTATAAAACAAATATAAATTAAATTCATGATACCACTAAAAAGTATAGATTTTTTTCTTTGCATGCCTTAGTCTTTTTAAGTCTCAAACTTTGACGTTTGTGATTAGAATAAACCAATGTTTCCAAAAGCAAAGGAAAAAAAAATCCAAATATAAAGAAAACGACAACGTTTTTCAACAAAGTTAATTCGTGGGAGAGAAATATTCTACCATAATTCGAGATCGGGCTCCTCCATAACCACGAAACTGACTATAACATTCCTCCCTATTCTCCAAAAACTGTTGAAAACCCAACCCCTTCCATAAGAATTTTGGATCTCGATATAGAAGTAGTTGTTACGGTTCCTTCAAATTGCAACAGCTAAATTGAAGGAAAAAAAACCAAACAGTTAAATGGCCTTATATAATTAGTTAATTACCAAAAACTATATATAAAACCTTCATTTTAGATTTTCAAACTATTATCTTTTCATAGAAAGCAAGTCTGGGTTCATAGTAATCTCGAATAACTAAAAGTTAGGGATTAAAAATGTCGAGATTACCACCATAATTTGCTTTCCTATGATGAGATACACATTGTTTGGCATACAATTTTATTATTTCAAAAATTCTACTGACAATCTTTTGGTGACATTAAATTAGAAGTCTGTTTAACAAATAACTTGCGAGTCTTTGTCTTTCTGGTTTTGAAATGACTTGCACAAATGCAGTACAAAAATGAAAGTGAAGCAAATTTGTTTCTAAAATTTTCACTATTCTTTGATCTTGTTAGTCTCATAATGGTCTCATCTCTTTCAGGCAAAACCATTTTCCTTTTCTGGAAAATGGTCTCATCTCTTTCAGGAAAGATTTTGATGAAGTAAGAGAGAGAGACAGGTCTTTAACTATGGTAAAGACTGTTAGTCATGGACAGTGGTGAAAAAGGAGGTTGGTGAAGGAAGCTTCACAAATCAAGAATGGGAGGTTGGTGAAAGGAGTAAAAAATGGAGGTTGATTTTGTTTCAACAATTTTAACTCACTCATTCACACTTGACCAACTCCTCCTCCAATGTACTATAAATACATGACCTCATCATCATAATTAATCATCCCAAGATCATCCCAACATCCCAAAACCAAAAACAAAGAAGAAGTGAGTGTGGGAGAGAAAGAAAGTGAGAGGAAAAATATTTTTATTTGTGAAAGAGAGTTGTTCTCTTTGAGTGTAATTGGGTTTGGGTTGTTCACGACTGAGTTACTGTTCAGGACGGATAATATTTTCCGGTTAATAGGAAAAGATCTGCAGCAGATTCGGAGACGTAGGCAACATTGGCCGAACTCCGTTAACAAATTGTGTGTGTTTTTATCGTTCCCACAAATCTGATTTATCGGAAATTTGACGTTATTTCCTAACAAAGACGTCTATGATGATGGAGAGTGGAAGTTTACTCTTGACCTCAACAACAGTAGTGATGTGGACTAGATTTGTCTGAAGATGGTAAATCTATTTAGATCTAAATACAGATCTGTTGTGGTGCTTATAGACTTTGTTACTTTGGTTGGCTTGTTATCCTTGAACTGGTTAATCCTTGTTGGTTCATTACTTAGGTTGTTCGTTATTGAACTATCTGATGCTAAAATTACTTTGTGATTGGCTAATTACTTTGGTTGTTCGTTATTGAACTATCTGGTGCTAAAATTACTTTGTGATTGGTTAATTACTTTGGTTGTTCTTTTTGATATTAACACCGGTTCAGCTGAAGATTTCAAGGAAGCTACTACTATATTGGTGCATGTGTATGCATGCAATCCAGCAGCTCTTGCTCTAGGCTCTGTTGAGTGGAAGCTCTATGATTCTGCAATGAGTCTGTTAAGTGTAGCCTCTAGGTCTCAGAAGATGAAGCTCTATTATTCTTTTGTTGAGCACGTAAGAAGTTTCATCATTGCTCTTCTTGCCGAGAGAGCTAGGCTCAGAAAAAAAAAGACGATGGGGTGTTCTCTGAAGAGGCCAAGCTGATTGAGAGTGCCCTGCGACAGACCATCGATATTACCACCATAATTTGCTTTCCAACGATGAGATACACATTGTTTGGAATACAATTTTATTATTTCAAAAATTCTACTGACAAATAAGTTGCAAGCCTTTGTCTTTCTGGTTTTGAAATGACTTGCACAATCCAGCACAAAAATGAAAGTGAAGCAAATTTGTTTCTAAAATTTTCACTATTCTTTGATCTTGTTAGAATTTCACAATATTTTTTAGCTTTGTTACTCTCATAATCTATGCCAAAACTTACAATATTCTCTAACCTTTTTGAAGAATTTATACAAATATCATAAGACATGTCTTATGGCAAAAATAATCACCACAATGAGAATAAAGTTGAATGTTGGTCTATTCATTCATTAATGGATGGTTTAGAAGTCTGATAACGAATAATGTATGTGGAAATTTTCTTTGGATAACAATATAAAAAAATTTGAAAAACTAGAAGTTTTAGAAGAAATAACTTACCTTTCATTAAAATATTTTAACTACACAAAAGTTTTATCCTCCAAAAATACAAAAAATATTGTATATGTTTAACATGATTAATTATATGAGTGAAGGAGTTAGCCCACCAAGATAACAAGGTCCAAAAAGTTTCCTAAAGCCAACTCTCTCAACGTTCTTCAAATGTATTATTGCTAGTGCAATATTTCTTCAAACTTCAAAAGGATCTTGAAGACACTTGTAGAAGATTCCAGAACAAATCTTCAAGTGTGAGTTTGCTGCAATCTGTTAAATATGAGACATGATGTGTCCCATAGTTCCTTAGCAAGTTTCGGGTCGCGGGAAATTCCTGAAGATTCGATGGTTCGACCATTACCTCCAAAGAAATATTTGTCTGATACTTCCTGCAAAATGTTTATCAAACAGAGCTTACATAAGGTGATGTAGATAAGATGTAGAAATTTGAAAAGAGCATATCTTACGGGTGGCGCTAAAGCAGCGTCAATGATCAATTCAGCTGCATCTTCAGAGGACTGCATGAGTCTAAAAATCTTGAGACCGTAAAACGCTATGATTTGTATGTATGAAGGAAGCTCATGCATTATGTTTGTTTTTACTGCTCCTGGATCTACCGCTCTGCC